TGAACAGATCATAATGAACCAATCACAGAAGACAATTACGCATAGTTAATTAGTCATGATAGCTTGTAAATGCAAATAATGCCTAGCTTTACTTCGGTTTAAAAAAAAAATGGCATATTAAAAAATCTTCTACCACATGGACTAAATTTCGTGAAATATATAATTGACACTGGCATACATTATTTGTTTGTCAGAAATACTGTAATTTGGCTACGTAAGATACATATTTCACTGAAAAAACTGGAGTTAATGCCTAACTTCAGATTTTTCACGCACCATTGACTCCTGTTAAAATTTGGAATAGTGCATTATCTCCATTTAAATAGGGTTAAAGAACAAAAATCACCATGAAAATTATTTAATATGTTTTTTAATTATATGTTTAGTATATTTGCCAAAAAATTTTACTAGAATTCATTTCCAGTACAAAAGGCTAACGACAAACGCGTTTTGCTCAATAACTCAAAACTAGGATTTTGGAGTTAATGCCTTTTTCCAAATCACGGCAGTATAATATAACTATGTTAGCAGTAAAGAAAAGGGATCTGCGAGTATGAATAAAATTGCAACAACTGCGATTCTCACCCGGGATATATGCTGTCTATGTAGAATTCCGATAGAACACTAGTATATGACGCATAAACGTGACTCAGAAATCAATGTGATAAGCCCTCTTCTTAAGCATCTTGCACGACAAGCAGGCTCTTCTTTGTTGTTTACAATTTACATTTCATAAAACATTTTTGGAAGACGGTTATGTCTTTAAATTTGAACATTTCTTAGTATTCTTTCGAGAGATTAGTAACCGGGAATATGTTCATCTTTTCATGACACCATAAATCGAAATGTGTGACTTACAGAATGCTGGTGGACTATATAAACGGCAATTTGCTGGAGGCCTTCGTTCATAGTATAGGTTACACATGTCTACACTATCAGAGTCATAACAACAGTAGTACTGGGGTACTATGTCAGAATCTAGTGAAATAATGTATTTGGTAGAAAAGCATGTTACTGTAGATAAACTTAAGGTACATGAATTTAATTTAGTTGATAAATTTCGATACGATTGCTTTGTGTTAAATAAGATTTTTACACATACATCACCTATAATATGTTTGTGTTTTAATAGAAGAATAATAGTATATAATCAATTTTTAAGTATTTGAGTTATATGTTTAATGAATAATGCTTGTATGATTTGGTAGACAATCAACTGTACGTTCTGCATAGGTCATAAAATAAGAAGATACTAATGGTTAGAATACTGTACGTTTTATCAAGTTTAGTTTAATCATAGCTTAAAATTACAATGCGTACTGTCTTTTATATTTGGTAAATGTATTAATATACTGTACAAGACAATCTACTGTACGTTCTGTATATATTTTGATTAGAATACTGTACATTTATGAAGTTTAAAGAATTGATTGACAGTCATTCTCTAACTTACAAATATGTTGAACATATTGATCCAAAATAAACCAAGGTCCAAATACATAGCCATAAAGAAATGAAAAACTACTCGAACCAAGTCCAATATATCCTTCTATCAACGACCCTCCTTCCAATCGATAACAACACTCAGTGCCAGCCAGAAAAATGTTGAATGTTGACGACTGGAAACAAATTGCATAGTTATCAGCTGTAGAAGAAAAGAAAATGATTCACATTACTTTGAAGTGTGTGTTCAAGAGCCAAAGCGCTCATGAGTTTTAAGCTGATTCCTAATTACTGGCCTATTTTTTTAATTTCTATTCAATTAGATTCAATGTTGTCTTTAAAAAGTAAAAAAAAAAAAAAAAAAAAAAAAAAAAAGTATTTGCATTGTAACAGCATACACATCTTGGTTTGGTTGTTAGTAAAAGATGGAAAATGAAATATTAACAGGGATGACCTTAAATTTCATAGATAAAATTGCTATTCCCTTTTTCCTGTGTTGCTTAAAAAACATACTGACGAAATTTACCTTAACGTATATTACCTACCATTATTTAAGAGTGTTACAATAGTTGAAAAAAGATCGCTTGATATGCCTTCATTTTCCAGAATAGACAAGGCGGCAATTGGATTTAAAGCAAGTGTTATCTGAGTTTTTATACGATATCGGGCATCTCTAAGAACTTGTAGCAGTCCACACGGGCAGGTGCCCAAACCCGATGGATTAAAAGAGCTTAATTTATCCTGGTTATACCAATCTATACATCGTTGCTTGGGATTTATTGTTGCATCTGTGTTTTCCTCGAATCGGAAAGTCCATTGGCCGAGTAAATCGGTGTTTCCAAGAACACTATCCGGTCTGTATCTATTGTTGACAAGAGGCTCTTGGAGCTGGAGGTTTACTGTCTCAAAATCAGCAATATTATAGCCAAGTATAGCGTTTTGTGGATCCTCTAGGGAAGGATCCCAAAGCATACTTTGCTCCTCATAAAAAGACAAAGCAAAACTATAAATTCCATCGGTTAGCAGGGTCGACTGAAACGTGTTTCTCTGGTAAAAGAAAATAAAGAAAAGAGCTTTTTACAAAATTGAATTATTTGTCTCAGCCATGTCTGTCTCCAGATTCAACTTACTCTGTTAACGGTAGGGTCAGCAGGCCTTTGTGGAATTTCATACCACGTAACCTTGAGTGCCCATGATGGTGAAAAACCAGACGGTATACTGCCACGATGTATGGTGAACAGTCTATCATTGGCTTCCGCTAAAAATGTCTGTCCTATCAAATCATCTGATGTATATTCCTATGTAACATCGAAACAAATTGTTATTATTGGTATATATATTTTCTGTTACAATGAAACGTTTTGGTTTCTTTATATAAATGGCGTACTTTGCAATAAGTTCCGATAGTTACTGTAGAGCCCTTATTTTTCACGACCACAAGTTTAATGCTCATCTGTAGAAAACCCCAGTTCAAATCCGGTTAAGTCTATCACTCGGCTCTTCAAATAAACTTAACGGATGAGAGTTGGGCGTGATAGCAGGAATGTGGTTGTCTAAGTTCTAAATTTTGAATAATGACAAAACTGAAAACAAAAATCCAGTAGATTACTGTTTGTAACAATATACGTCAGAAAGTATTTGGTCTAAGAAAATAGGCCTATTTTGGCAACTTAATTATTTTGTGTTGTAATCATAAATTGTGAATGAGAGTTTGAACTGACTCATCATATTAAACTTTCTAGATGGATACCTGATAATATACATCTCCAATATCACTACTTAAGTCACCATCTGCAAAGAAAGGCGCGAATAAATTCCTGGTGTCACCGGTCTCAAAGCCATTCGACGGTGGATTCGGATAGCCCAATACTTCCTCATTATCCCCATGTAGCACAAATAGTCCATTTTCAGTGAACTAAAATGATGAACACAACTATGCATTAAAATAATAAACCTAGCTTCCTGGTTAGGTCATATAGATATTTGTAAAACATTTCCGTGTGAATAGGTATTTAATTTGTAAGGCTTCCAATTCCTAAAACATAATAATTCAAACGTCTGCCATAAGTTATATGTCATCACCACTTACATACACATATTGTAGGAACTCATGTCCATATGGAAAGCCGGTTAGAGGTTTGAAATCATACGACAACAATTCTTCGAAGGATTGTCTGTAATTCTCACGTAGCGAATAGTCACCCACACTTTGCCCAAAGAGAAAGTAAATCTCCTCTACAAAAACAAAAAGTAAGTGAGATTGTTAAAACGTGTTTGTTGACTCTGGAAGATGAACATGAGGAAGTATTGAAGCCGCGAAGTTTGAACACTCTATTATATGGAAACAGAAAGCATTATTACACCCCAAATTATTAATATGTTTTTCAACTAGTCAAATTATTAACTACAAATAACAATACTTTATACTTTATACCAGGGTCGGATCCAGATTGTTTCAAAAAGGGGGGGGGGGGGGGGAGAAAGACTGGTGTACAACAGTTTTAGAATAGGTAAGTTAGTAGCACATAACATTGATTTATATTGAAATATTTAAAATTTAGTAGCAAAATGGGGCAAGGGGGGTGGTTCCCACTGTGCCCCCTACTGGATCCGTCCCTGCTTACATTAGCTGTCTTAATGTTGGAGAAACTTGACTGTCATTGGCCATGAGAATGGTTGATATAATACCAGTATATCATATTGTATATTATGTGTATGTTATACACATAATATACAATATGAGTATATTATACACAGCTATTTGAAAAATAAAGATATCCAAGTAGGCCTATTCCAAGATGCATATACATTTTGTAGACTAGGTTGGCTGACCCTTTTCCGAATACTGTGAAATAGAAGTTCTGTATTGAAAGGGTCGGGTGCAGCTGTCAAATCAATGAAACATGTGAAGAATTTTTGAAGTTGCTTGCACACATAGTTGGCAGCACTGCAGCATGCTCCTTTGCGGACCGCGCTTCCGTACCTTAGCCAAATTTTGTGGGGATATGCTGCTCTTCATAAACACGTTTGTTAGAATGATATGCTAAAACACGAGTTCAAACACTTAACATTTTTAAAAACATAAGATTTAAAATAAATAAGACTAACTCTAAGGAAGGACACAGGCGTGTCAGAAATATCCGTTTGAAATAAATATTATATTATATCTATCTGTGAGACATACGTGGAACCAACTACATCCAATTTTATTATATATATGTATATATATATATATCTATATATAAAGAATTTTATATATATTTATATATATGTATATATATAAAGAATATATATATATATATATATATATATATATATATATAAAATTCAAATTACGTTTGCTAAGTTAGTAGCACCGCAAACGCAATATAAACAAATGGATAAATAACAATAGTAAGAGTGCTTAAATAGGAAAAAGGGTTATATCGTATCAAGCATAACTCTTCAACGAAAAGTTCTTTTTTATATTATTTATTTCAACCAGCAACTTCTTGTCGATCATGGAGACATAGGATGTACGGGCAGACTTAACCACCAGACACTTTCTCTCACACAACTGACTGAAACGCTGACTATTAGGGGGCAGCTTGGATTTCATAGTGTATTATATTTTCCTATTCAAGCATTATTATTATTTTATGTCTGTTTATATTGACAATAACTATTTACAAGTTATGGAATAGACAAAATTTACAAAAAGAGGAAAGACGTACCTCGACAGAAAAAGCCATCACCGTCAAAGCCTTCATTACACGCACATGTGAAAGATCCATCTGTGTTATTACAGGTGGCATTATTTGAACAGGTGCTTGTTTGTGCTTCACATTCGTCAAAATCTGAAACAGCCACAATAAGGTTAAAGTCCAGCTGTTTTATATACAGTAGGTAAAAATATTAGTTCTATAATAATAATAATAATAATAATAGAATAACAACAATCTTTTTTTTATAATGATAATAATTTCATATATATATATATTTATATATATATACATATATATATATATCAATAATTTTTCTCTTGATACAAGTTAGAGGGTTACGTTCGTACCTTCTGCACCCTCTCTGCATCCGACTCAGTATAAAGGGAATCTGACAAAGCATAATATAGGAAAAAAACCAGAAACAGCAAGCGGAAGTATTCATTGCATTATATCAGGTAGGCTTAAGCGAAACGTCCAAGTTCGAGTTTTTGTCAGATTTTCCTTCTGTTACGTTTTAATTTAATCTCACGGCCATAATGAAAAACAGCATGTATTTGTTGATTTTATATATATATATATATATATATATATATTATATTATTATAATTTATAATTATACACCTGACTTTAAAACTTAAAATAATTACCTACCTGTACACACCGTTCCGTTACCCTCATACGTTGGTTGTCTACATGTACATGTAAAGGAGCCAATAGTATTCGAACAATCGGCATTACTATCACAATTATGTTGCCCTGTTGAACACTCCTTGATATCTGAAAGTGTATGCGTAAAAATTAATGATTTAACAAGTGACAAACATAAGAATTTCTGTACAATAGAATAATTTTGTAATGATATTTGAGATATTCTATTAATCTTATTGAAGTAATGTCCACATAGTTGTGACTTAAATTAACATACGCACAGCACAGGCACACCAGACTAAATTGTAATGTTTTTCTCTCTTTTGTAGAAGCCGGTTATATTCATCAGCATTTTGATTCCTAATCTGAGTAATTTAGCCTTCTCAGTCTTATTGTACTTTTTTTCTGATGTCTTTATATTTTTAATTTTTATATGCATCTATTTTTATTTCCATTTCAGTTCACAATTTCAATTATAAAAGACAATCAGTAATGCTATAGGATAATTGTGTATCGCTCTAACGAGTGGTCTCATTCTAATAAAATCTTTCTAAGCTTTTGACGGCAGTTAATAGTTTTATCAAAGATATGGGTTACTAAGACCCACACCAAGTACATAAGCTTAACTATTTGCCAAATGACACACATTACATAAAATAAAAGAATCTAGCAACTTGCTTCTCCTGCTATAAATATGCCTTGAACTAAAAAAAAAAGGATACGACTTACCTATGCACCGTTTTCCTAATTCACCTACAAACTGACCGTCGGAACAAGTATAGGTTGTTGGCTCTGAAGGATATAACTCATATCCTTCATTGCAACTTACAGACACAGTGTTACCATGATCAACGAGGTTAGTTCCACTCCATTCTCCATTTTCGAAAGAGCCTGGCTTTGGGCATTGAACTAGATCGAGAAAAGGATAAATATAGGAGGCCTACTCTATTTTGCTATGTATTTTATTTTATGTCATTTTAGCATCAAGGGTGATAAACAAATACTTGTTTATGTTCAATAAATAAAGTATTATGAAATGTAGATATATTTTCTAAATATTTTTAGTGATAATTATTTGACGAGCTTTGAATACAGCCCATGTCTACTTTTAATATATCTATAATATTTGATAAAAGTATGGAAATAACTTAAAATACCTACCATAGCAATATGGAGGTGTGCCTTGAAAGGTACCACCCTGGCATATCAGTGTGTTGTTGCCAATTAGTGTATATCCATCATTACAAACAAATGATATTGTCTGACCCTCCAGGTACTTTCTTCGCTGCACCTCAGGATTTGTTTGCCTTCCATTTTGCAATATTTCGGGTGATAAACAACTCCCTAAACATAAATGTGCATTCGATATTAATAATTAATACAATACGTATTGTATCCATCAAGAGGCATCTAAGTTTGTTTTTGTTTTCTTTCTGATACTTTTAGCAACTTAGTTTACAGGAGAAAATCAAAAAGGATTGATTCACTTATATAATACAACTGGCAGTTAACATAGCAAAAAGGACAGGCATCACATAATTCAAAATATAAACACATTTCCAAAATAATGTTCCTAAAATGTATTATTGTATACACGAATCGTGTGGAATATCGATTGTGCACTTATGGCTTCTAGTTATACATAGTAGACTTTACTATACTAAAACATTTGTTTCGACAACAGTTTTTTTATATCTTCATTTGGCAAACGGTCTTGACGTTGAGAAATAGGCAATGGGCCTAGGATGGCAACGGGCCTATTGTTGCAAAAGGCTGGGTGGCAGCGTGACAGGTGACATACCCTTTTATTTATTTATATACTTAAAATTCGTATATGTTACCATGCTCGTAGAGACACTTCCTCTGGAATTAGCTTATGTATTACTATCTCCGCTCCTGCGAATATAATTTAAAACGGTACAAGCCACTTAACATACTAAGATACAAATTCAAATGCTACCAAGTAAGAAATTGTTAAATAATTCAATACCGTCGCAGAGTGGGCTTTCTTCATCGAAGTTAGATGTACATTCGAATGGTAATTCGTTGCAAAATTTATCAATATTGATGCAAAACGTATTATTGCATCGCATTTCAAAGTCATTACACGGACCTGAAAATAAATAAAACATTCACAAAAATAAACTAATATTAATATCCTGGGAATATCATTACTAATTATTATTACAAAGCAAACTGGATAGACGGAAAGTTGAACCGACAACCAACATTCCTACGTATGTTTTCTTTGTCCGGTCTTTATCATTCCACATTATTTTTTTCCAAAAAATCTAAATATCTTTAAAATTGTTTTGAAGTTTTATTATTTTGAATATATAAGCATTTAATGTTTTAATGCTATCTAACTTTGTGTACTCAATTGTAATGTGTTTTTCAAAAGAATGAATAGCCCAACGTGTGCGTATTACGCTATTATTATTTGTAGTTTGTGTTAAGAGAAGTCGTAACGTAAAATTGCCTATCCTAGTTCTACTTAAGATAGGCGTACTTAGAAATAGCATATTATTAAAATGTGTATACAGTAATATATTGAACTCATGAACTTTTGGGGGAGAGATTTTGTAGATAGAAAATATAGAGCTGCTCTTTTCTAAAAAAAAAATAGAATGTTAGTGCATATGTGATTGTAAAATAATATTTACATGAAAGTTGATTTTCATCTGACCAATTAGGACAATCCATCTCCTTATCACAAAAGTAATCTTCTGGAATACATTCTCCATTAGATACAGGACATCGACGAAAACCGTTACGGCAAACCGAATCTAGCAAACAAAATATATTATCGTAACAATGTATTTACACACACGCTTTGTAACTTCATACAACGCAATAACAAACGTAGGTACAAAAAACTGACTTTGTAGAATCTAACAAACGCGCAGTGTTGCTTAACTTGTTTATATATAGACCTTATAGATACTTTAGTTTTTACTTATCAAGATATATTGTAATACAAATATATGGTAAAACAAAATTTGTCCTACTAGCATTCATAAATATAATGAAGATATTTAAATAATTAATTCAGATTATAATATTTCACATTTGTACGTCAGTATATAATTATAAGAATAAAGTTATCACAGAATAAATATATTTTATTATTATTATTATTATTATTATTATTATTATTATTATATGTTTTATATTTACCTTATGTAATCAAAACGTATAGTTTAAGTGTAACTGTTATTGTATTTTTATATATCGATCTCAACCTTGCATGTGCTAATTATATTGAATATAAATATCCAATAATATCTTAGGGTGTTGTTTTCTGTTTACTTTTATTAAAATTATTTATTTTATAATGTCATATTGGAATGAACTAAAAGTGATTTCTATTGGGGTGGAGGGCACAAAGGCCTAAATCTAAATATTAAGTAGCAAAACCTCAGAACCAAAATTATGAAGGATTCATGAAATTAACATAAAATCATGTATTATCTTTTACATTTATCATGTTATACATTATTATTATTACCAAAGGTTAAAATATGTTATGTTTTAACATGAATACTTTACTATAACTACACTACAGAGTTTGAAATTCTCTTTACAGATGAATGGATAAATATTTTTAGCCAGATCAAAACCAAACGCTGATTACCTTCAACAACAATTAATGTTGTACACATTGCTGTGAGGTTATTTATATTATCTGTAGCTTGAAATGCAAGCTGATACGTTCCGATCTCGTAATTTCCCGGTTCGAGCGAAGATATCATTTCTACATCCGCTATCTTTTGGCCTAAGTTGTTTGTAGCTGTTGCGCTGGTCCAGTTTACCGCAATGGTATTTTCTCCTACTTGCAGTTGATAAACTTGGTTGTCAGGGCAGGTGATTATAGGTGAATCGTCATCTATCGTTTCAGATTGTAAATAAATTAATATAATAATTGTACATAAACCAACCTGCACAATACAATTTGTACAACTAAATTAACTGATAAGGTACGAATACGAGGCCTACTATTATTACTACTACTACTACTATTACTACTACTACAAATAAAGTCGACAATAATAATAATAATAATAATAATAATAATAATAATAAAAATAATTATTATTTTCATTATAAGAATGATAATCATAATAACACTACTATTATTAACAATAATTGTAAAAATATAGAATAATAATTTTGATTTTGATTTTTTTTATATTTTAACAACATTTAATTCTTCATCTTTTCTTCGATGTTTACAGAGTAGAAAATAATTAAATTGAGCAATAATAATATTGGAATAATTGTATAATAATATAAAATACGATAATAGTAGATGATAATAGTAGATTTTAAACCACACAAAAATCAAAGAACAGAATAAGACAAAAAACCTACGAACGCCAGGAGCGTTGAAAAAATAAAGATATATAAGTTAGATTGCGCAAATACAAAAAAAAAAGAGATATAATCCCAACATATTGTACATTTGTCCGAAGATTGCTAAAATGCAAAAAGCTTGGAGTAGCAAAGAGTTTTCTTGCAAAGCTTTTTTTTTTTTTTTTTTTTTTTTTGAATAGATGAATGCAAGTGACAGTAGCGCAATACTATAAATATTGTGAAATAATACGATTAAAGTAAAAAAGATAATGATGATGATAATGATGTTTATATTGATAATTATAATGATATTAGAAATACAATATGATGATAATGTTAATAATAACAATAATTATAGTAGTTATAATGGCAAATAATAATAATTCAACTTACTGCCTCCTTGTAAATAAGTTAGATTGCGCAAATACAAAAAAAAGAGATATAATCCCAACATATTGTACATTTGTCCGAAGATTGCTAAAATGCAAAAAGCTTGGAGTAGCAAAGAGTTTTCTTGCAAAGCTTTTTTTTTTTTTTTTTTTTTTTGAATAGATGAATGCATTGTGTCTAAGAAGTGACAGTAGCGCAATACTATAAATATTGTGAAATAATACGATTAAAGTAAAAAAGATAATGATGATGATAATGATGCTTATATTGATAATTATAATGATATTAGAATTACAATATGATGATAATGTTAATAATAACAATAATTATAGTAGTTATAATGGCAAATAATAATAATTCAACTTACTGCCTCCTTGTAAAACAGAACATATGTTTTTCATTACTGACATAATGAGAACTGATGTTGAAATTGTAAAGTAAATTATGCAGTAAAAAAAACTGAAGATTAATAAAAATTAAAGAAACTCATAAAGTACTGCAAACAAAATATATAGAATGAGTCTATTTTAATTTGCAAATCTTTAATTATTATAATAAATATGGTCTTTTCATGGACAAAATTTGAAGACGATCAAGCCGCAGAAAGTGACCAAACCAACATGGCGGACAAATAACTCCGTATATTGTTATTGGCTTTTCTTGAAAATAATAATAATAATAATAATAATAATAATAACAAAGAGGCACCGGACCCTGACACTTTGTTATTTTTAACTAAAACTATGACAAATGACCAGATTATACCGACAATGAAGAAGAATGCAAGTTGCAAAATGACATACCACCAACCATACTCAACATCTTTTACTATCACTCCAAAATGTGGTTTTTAATTAGGAATAGACAAACAAAATAAAACCCTCCACGTGGGTTAAAAACACCAATACAATGGTGAAAACAATATCAAGTGACATCTCTTTTGCTGTCGAATAGTAAATAAAAAAATAAAACCCTTTCCTTAATTAATTAATAAAAAAATTTAAACAGCAAGAAAGTAAGGAGTCTAAAATTGTAAACAAAAATACAATTGGAGGCAATGAGGATTATAAAGTTGACAAATTAGTACCTTGAAATATTTAAATATACCACGAAGTTTTATAAAGAGTTGTGAAAAACAAATCACACTTAAATTCAACTAACCAAGAAATATATGAGTATTGGAGTAATAGTTGGACTAACTCTAAAAGATTCTTGCCGACAAAAAAAATAAAGGATTTGAGCAAGCAATTAACAAGAACGTAGTGTGATTTAATGCAACATATATAAATTTCTTAATGGAAAAAAAATACAAACAAATACAAATGTATGCCAGGTCATATCTCTTTAATATATGTTTTTGTGAGTTTTCTACTTACTCGACCTGACATCGTGATTTGATTCTGTCAATTTGAAAAAACATTATTTAATATTTTCGTTTGAAAATTTGAAAAAAACATTATTTAATATTTTCGTTTTTTTCCCGTCTGTCCTACACTATAAAAGTATTGAACTGTCATTTTCCTTGGTGTTCGACAATGTGTAAACAAAAAAAAAATACCAGGTCTAGAGGAAATATAACCAAAGGTCCTAAAAGATCATTTTCCTTGGTGTTCGAAAATGTGTAAACATATTTTCGTATGAATTTAGGCCTAATGATACATTCCAATAGTATTTCTGTTATTTTACTGATTATCACTTACTTTAATGGTTCTTCCCACACAGGATTGCCTTTGAAGGATGCCCTTTTCCCTCTCCTGTTTTGTTTTGTTTCTTTATTGTTGTAACTTGTGCTTCTGGGATCTGTTATTCCCTTGTTTTAAATAAATGAAATCTATTCTTTAACATATAACATATTTTTAATTTAAAAGGTCACTGAATTACATACTTATCATAGGTTGTGATAAATAATAAACTTTTCAATTTAGACATGTTTTAATTTTTTACGAAAACTATTCATTTGGATGATCCACAAAAATTTAACAAACGTTCGTAAAAACCTGACGTTTAACCCAAACTTTTTATTTTTATTATTTATTATGTAATATATATATATATATATATATATATATATATATATATATACTCTAAAACAATAATATATTTCACACAACTGTGTGAAGATTTAAATTATGTACTTTACGGCAATTGGGGGAATTAAATCTTTCTTAAAAGTGAAAATATCAGTTGAATAACGACAACTGAAGAAACTGATGGAGCTGAGAGTAGAATTATGGTAGTACGTATGTTACTGCGAAACTCGAGAATTATTTTGATGGACTGGACTGAATTCTTAAAGAAAACTTATTTTTTTTTATTATTCTTATTCTTTTTTTTTGTAGTTTCGTATGAGAAAGAAGAAAATAAATGTTATTTTGATTTTATTTGAAAATATGTGTTCTGAGACGGATTTAAAAATGTTGAGCGATAGACAATTGTGAACTTCAAAAGGCAAGGAATTCCAAAGTAATGGCGATCGAACAGATAGGCATATTAGTGTTTGTGAGGATAAAATATGAGTAGGTCTACGTAGTTTGTGCTTTCCAACGCGCCTAGAACGAAAGTGAAAACATGTAAAAAGCCTTGACAAACTACCGAAATTTCAGTTAAATGGTGAAATATATGAAATATTGCATTAATATAAACCACCTAAATAACGCTCCTTCATAACGCAAGGAACACCACCTTATCCTAAACAAAGATAGGACCTAGCATTCAATAATAGAACACTAACCAGCCTATCCTGTAAGATATTAACATTCATCTTAACCGACTTTCTTGGAAATAAAATTCCGCTACCATCCGAACAAAAATGATGCAAAAGAGGCTCATATGAACGTAAAATGCAACATGGGAAACTGAAATCACTCATGAATATAGAAAAAACAAAGATTAGGCAAGATAACTGTACAAAAGAGATTAAATTACATTGTTATGCCATGTATGATTGACTGTGCTCATTTTTGTATCCTTAAAAAGTATTCCACACAATTGTTTTTTAATAGATATGTTTTTAGCATTAACACCATTAATAGTTTTTTTAATTTTTGAAAATCGGTGCATTATTTAGTGATTTAAGATGGATATAATCGATTTGTTTTGTATTGTTTATCTATGCCAAGGCTGTTAATGTTTTGTGATTTTCAGGCCCTATCAACATTCCTGCTCTGTAGATAAACCCTTTTTTCATCAGGATGCCCGAAATTTTTGGCGCTAAGTTGTAAATCTCAATCTAAGTTTATCTATCTAATAATAAAAACAATCCAAGACAACAGAAAATAGAAATGAATAAATCTTATTGTTGCTTGAATAGATTATAAGAAGGTGTCCAGTACAATTGGACCATTAAATAAGTGGATATGATCTTCAGATTTAGATATTTGTGACTTTGTGAAAGTTAGAATGAAGACACTGAAGACTCAACCTAAATCACAACAATCGATCTTAACAAGTGACAATTAACCGAGAAACAAGAAGTTTCACTTATAAGACACTTATTCTGTATTACCCTATTTTCATTAATGTCATTGATGGCAGTGGCAATGTATATTATACTAATGATATTGATAACGATGTTAATAATGATAATGAAAAACGTCAATAATAATGTCATCTTATATGGTGTAGGCCTACATATCCATCTCAGAGAGCTGTGGTGAATTAATCACCTTTCGTTTTAATTTCTTCGTTGTTCACTCAGCCGATGTATAACATTAATAATCTCTAAAAGTTCAATCGAAAAATAAAATGAGAAACTTGACTTACACAGATATTAATAACGCTTATGAATTGATATTCAGATTAAGTTTCAAAACCGACTTTTTTTAAAATAAAATCTGTCTTACCTGTTCCAATGTCACTTGTTGTTAACTCCTTTGGTATAGACTCAACTGTTGTAAATCCAACTGTCACAGACCCATTAGTTGTAGACTCAGCTGATGTACCTGTTACTTCTGTCATTGTTATAGCTGATACTGTCTCACCGGTTGTGGATTCTCCTGTTGTTGAATCCTCTGTTATAGAGTCAACGGTTGTTGATTCAATTGTTGTAGATCCAGATGTCGTAGAGAAATCAGTTGTAGACTCAATTGTTGTTGACCCTTCAGTAATTGGTACTGCTGTCATTGTTGTAGCTGATGCTGTCTCACCGGTTGTGAAGGTTGAATGTTGTATATTAGAGTCATCTGCTGTAGATTCAACTGTTTTAGAGTCCAATGTTGTAGATTCAATTGTTGTATAGTCAACTGTTGTAGATTCAATTGATGTAGATCCAGCTGTCGTATACAAATCAATGTTAGACACAATTGTTTGTGAGTCTTCAGTTACTGTCATTGTTGTTGAATCCTCTATTATAGATTCACCTGCTGTTGATTCAAATGTTGTGGTGTCACCTGATGTAGATGTATCTGATGTAGATTCAGCTTTCGTAGACCCACCAGCTGAAGACTCAATTGTTGTTGAGTCCTGAGTTACTTTTATTTCTGTCATTGTTGTTGAATCCTCAATTATAGAATCAAATGTTGTAGATTCAATTGTTGTAAATTCAGCTGTTGTAATCCCATCAGTTGTAGACTCAATTGTTGTTGACCGAGCTACCGTAGGCAAATCTGTTTTTGACTCAGTTGGCGTTGAGTCGTCTGTTGCTGTTACTTCTGCCATTGTTGTTGCTGATACTGTCTTACCGGTTGTGGATTCTCCTGTTGTTAAATCCCCTATTATAGAGTCAACTGTTGTTGATTCAATCGTTGTATATCCAGCTCTCGTAGACAGATCAGTTGTAGACTCAATTGTTGTTGACCCTTCAGTACCTGTTACTTCTGTCATTGTTGTAGCCGATACTGTCTCACCGATTGTGAATTCTCCTGTTGTTGAATCTTGTATTGTAGAGTCATCTTCAGTAGATTCCACTGTTGTAGAGTCCACTGTTGTGGATTTAATTGTTGTAAAGTCAACTGTTGTAGATTCAATTGTTGTAGATCCAGCTGTCGTAATCCCATTAGTTGTAGACTCAATTGTTGTTGACCGAGCTGCCGTAGGCAAATCTGTTTTCGACTCAGTTGGTGTTGAGTCGTCTGTTGCTGTTACTTCTGCCATTATTGTTGCTGATACTGTCTTACCGGTTGTGGATTCTCCTGTTGTTAAATCCCCTATTATAGAGTCAACTGTTGTTGATTCAATTGTTGTATATCTAGCTCTCGTAGACAGATCAGTTGTAGACTCAATTGTTGTTGACCCTTCAGTACCTGTTACTTCTGTAATTGTTGTAGCCGATACTGTCTCACCGATTGTGAATTCTCCTGTTGTTGAATCTTGTATTGTAGAGTCATCTTCAGTAGATTCAACTGTTGTAGAGTCCACTGTTGTAGATTCAATTGTTGTAAAGTCAACTGTTGTAGATTCAATTGTTGTAGATCCAGCTGTCGTAATCCCATTAGTTGTAGACTCAATTGTTGTTGACCGAGCTGCCGTAGGCAAATCTGTTTTTGACTCAGTTGGTGTTGAGTCGTCTGTTGCTGTTACTTCTGCCATTGTTGTTGCTGATACTGTCTTACCGGTTGTGGATTCTCCTGTTGTTAAATCCCCTATTATAGAGTCAACTGTTGTTGATTCAATTGTTGTATATCTAGCTCTCGTAGACAGATCAGTTGTAGACTCAATTGTTGTTGACCCTTCAGTACGTGTTACTTCTGTAATTGTTGTAGCCGATACTGTCTCACCGATTGTGAATTCTCCTGTTGTTGAATCTTGTATTGTAGAGTCATCTTCAGTAGATTCAACTGTTGTAGAGTCCACTGTTGTAGATTCAGTTGTTGTAGAGTCAACTGTTGTAGATTCAATTGTTGTAGATCCAGCTGTCGTAGACAAATCAGTTGTAGACTCAATTGTTGTTGATCGACCTGTCGTAGACAAATCTGCTGTGGACTCAATTCCCGTTGATTCGTCTGTTCCTGTTACTTCTGTTAATGCTGTAGCTGATACTGTCTCACCGGTTGTGGATTCTCCTGTTGTTGAATCCCCTATTATAGAGTCAACTGTTGTTGATTCAATTGTTGTATATCTAGCTCTCGTAGGCAGATCAGTTGTAGACTCAATTGTTGTTGACCCTTTAGTACCTGTTACTTCTGTCATTGTTGTAGCCGATACTTTATCACCGATTGTGAATTCTCCTGTTGTTGAATCTTGTATTGTAGAGTCATCTGCTGTAGATTCAACTGTTGTAGAGGCCACTGTTGTAGATTCAATTGTTGTAGAGTCAACTGTTGTAGATTCAATTGTTGTAGATCCAGCTGTCGTAGACAAATCAGTTGTAGACACAATCGTTTTTGAGTCTTCAGTTACTTTCATTGTTGTTGGATACTCTATTATAGATTCACCTGTCGTAGATTCAATTGTTGTGGAGTCATGTGTTGTAGATTTAACTGATGTAGATCCCACTGTCGTAGATATCTTAGTTGTAGCGTCAACTTCAATTGATTCTTCAGTACCTGTTACTTCTGTCATTTGTATAGTTGATAGCCTTTCACTTGTGGTGTATTCACCTGTTGTTAACTCCTCTATTGCAGAATCAAAAGTTGTAGATCCCGCTGTCGTAGATGTCTTAGTTGTAGAGTCAACTTCAATTGATTCTTCAGTAACTGTTACTTCTGTCTTTTGTACAGTTGATACCGTTGATTCCGTTGATTCCTCAATTGCAGACTCAACAGTTGTAGATCCCGCTGTCATAGAGTAAACTTTAGTTGATCCTACACTTGACTCCTCTATTGCAGTAAACCCCGTAGTTATAGATTCAACTGTTGTAGACATATCGGTTGCAGATTTAATTGTCATTGACCCTTCAGTCACTGTTTCCTCTGTCATTGTTATAGAGGATACTGTCTCGCCGGTAGTGAATTCTTTTATTGTTGACGCTTCTATTTTAGAATCCACTGTTGTAGATTCAATTGCTGTAGAGCTAGCTGTTGTAGACCAATACGTTGTAGACTCAGCTGTCGTTGAGTCTTCAACATTTGTTATTTCTGATACAATATACAACATAAGAAATTTCTAAGAGAAAATTTTAAATAACTAGCAGCAATAAAGTAATCAAAGTTTTAAAACAGTAAGAATAAATGTAAAGAAACAATTTATAGAGACAAGCAATAGTTGTTGAAGAAAAATAATTACAGGAATCTTTTATATTTATTACAGCAAATGAAATGAAAAATATAAAATCCTCTACAAGATTACTAGAATTAAGACACTGTAGAGGGTTCTTTACTAATGCATCAGCAGAATTGTTTTGAATGCAAATGTAAAAATTTAAAAGAAAAATCAGTGTAAAAAGACAATTTATAGAGATCAGCAATAGTTGGTAAAGGAAAATAGTTATCATTTATTGTTGTTAACGCATTTCAGCAAATGAAATAAAAGATAAAATCCTCTACAAGATTACCAGATGTAAGACACTGTAGAGTGTTCTTTACTAATGCATCAGCAGAATTGTTATAAATGCAAATGTCAAAATTTAAAAGATTACAACATAGAAGCAAAAACAAATTTACGAATAAAATGTATAGCATTAACAATCTCTAAAGGTTCAAGGGAAAATAAAATGAAAAACTTAACTTACACAGATATTAATAACGTTTATGAATTGATATTCAGATTAAGTTTCAAAACCGACCTGTTTTTGATAAAATCTGTCTTACCTGTTCCAATGTCACTTGTCGTTAATTCCTTTGGTATAGACTCAACTGTTGTAGATCCAACTGTCATAGACTCAATTGTTGTAGCGTCAACTGTTGTAAATTTAACTGTTGTAAAGTCAATTGTTGTAGATCTAGCTGTAGTAGACAAATCAGATAGAGTTGTTGTTAAATCTTCAGTTACTGTTACTTCTTTCACTGTTGTTGAATCCTCTATTATAGAGTCAACTGTTGTAGATTCAATTGTTGTAGAGTCAACTGTTGTATAGTCAACTGATGTGGATTTAGCTGTCATAGACTCATCAGTTGTAGAGTCAACTGTTGTAGATCCAAGTGATGTAGATTCAGCTATCGTTGACCCATCAGTTATAGAGTCAACTGTTGTAGATTCAATCGTTGTAGATACAACTGTTGTAGATTCAACTGATGAAGAGTCAACAGTTGTAGATTCAATCGTTGTAGATTCAACTGTTGTAGATTCAACTGATGAAGATTCAGCAGTCGTTGACTCATCATTTGTAGAGTCAATTGTTGTAGATTCAACTGTTGTAGATTCAATTGTTTTAGATCCAGCTGTCGTAGACAAATCACTTGCTGAGTCTTCAGTTACCGTTACCTCCGTCATGGTTATAGTTGATACTGTCTCACCGGTTGTGGATTCTACTGTTGTTGAATCTTCTATTGTAGAGTCAATTGTTGTAGGGTCAACTGTTGTAGATTCAATTGTTGTAGAGTCAACTGTTGTATACTCGACTGATGTGGATACATCTGTCGTAGACCTATCAGTTGTAGAGTCACCTGTTGTAGATTCAATCGTAGATTCAACTGTTGTAGATTTAGCTGTAGTAGACCCATCAGTAGGCTCACTTGTTGTCGAGTCTTCAGTTTCCGTTACTTCTGTCATTGTTATAGTCGATATTGTCTCACCGGTTGTGAATTCTACTGTCGTCGAATCTTCTATTGTAGAGTCAAGTGTTGTAGATTCAATTGTTGTAGAGTCAACTGTGGTAGACTCAATTGTTGTAGTGTCAACTGTTGTAAATTTAACTGTTGTAAAGTCAATTGTTGTAGATCCAGTTGTTGTAGATCTAGCTGTAGTAGACAAATCAGATAGAGCTGTTGAATCTTCAGTTACTGTTACTTCTTTCACTGTTGTTGAATCCTCGATTATAGAGTCAACTGTTGTCGATTCAATTGTTGTAGAGTCAACTGTTGTATAGGCAACTGATGTTGATTTAGCTGTCGTAGACTCATCAGTTGTAGAGTCAACTTTTGTAGATTCTGCTGTCGTAGACAAATCAGTTGTAGAGTCAACTGTTGTAGATCCAACTGATGTAGATTCAGCTATCGTTGACCCATCAGTTGTAGAGTCAACTGTTGTAGATTCAACTGATGAAGATTCAGTAGTCGTTGACTCATCAGTTGTAGAGTCAATCGTTGTAGATTCAACTGTTGTAGAGTCAACTGTTGTAGATTCAGCTGTCGTAGACATATCAGTTGTAGATCCAACTGTTGTAGAATCAAGTGATGTAGATTCAACTATCGTTGACCCATCAGTTGTAGAGTCAACTGTTGTAGATTCAATTATTATAAATTCAACTGATGAAGATTCAGCAGTCGTTGACCCATCAGTTGTAGAGTCAACGGTTGTAGATTCAGCTGTCGTTGACATATCAGTTGTAGAGTCAACAGTTGTAGATTCAATCGTTGTAGATTTAACATTTGTAGAGTCAACTGTTGTAGAAAAAGCTGTCGTTAACATATCAGTTGTAGATTCAACTGTTGTAGATTCAACTGATGTAAATTCAGCTGTCGTAGACCCATCAGTTTTAGAGTCAACAGTTGTAGATTCATCAGTTGTAGATTTAACTTTTGTAGAGTCAACTGTTGTAGAATAAGCTGTCGTTGACATATCAATTATAGAGTCAACTGTTGTAGATTCAACTGATGTAAATTCAGCTGTTGTAGACTCATCAGTTGTAGAGCCAACTGTTGTAGATGCAACTGATGAAGATTCAGCAGTCGTTGACCCATCATTTGTTGAGTCAACAGTTGTAGATTCAATCATTGTAGATTCAACTGTTGTAGATTCAGCTGTCGTTGACATATCAGTTGTAGAGTCAACTCTTGTAGATCCAACTGATGTAGATTCAGCTATCGTTGACCCATCAGTTATTGAGTCAACTGTTGGAAATTCAACTGATGAAGATTCAGCAGTCGTTGACTCATCATTTGTAGAGGCAATTGTTGTAGATTCAACTGTTGTAGAGTCAATTGTTGTAGATTCAGTTGTCGTGGACATATCAGTTGTAGAGTCAACTGTTGTAGATCCGACTGATGTCGATTCAACTATCGTTGACCCATCAGTTGTAGAGTCAACTGTTGTAGATTCAATTGTTGTCGATTCAACTGATGAAGATTCAGCAGTCGTTGACCCATCAGTTGTAGAGTCAACAGTTGTAGATTCAATCGTTGTAGATTCAGCTATCGTTGACCCATCAGTAGAGTCGACTGTTGTAGATTCAACTGATGAAGATTCACCAGTAGTTGACCCATCGGTTGTAGAGTCAACGGTTGTAGATTCAGCTGTCGTTGACATATCAGTTGTAGAGTCAACTGATTCAACTGATGTTAATTCAGCTGTCGTAGACCCATCAGTTGTAGAGTCAACTGTTGTAGATTCAACCGTTGTATATTCAACTGTTGTAGAGTCAATTGTTGTAGATTCAGCTGTCGTAGACCCATCAGTTGTAGACTCAATTGTTGTTGAGTCTGCAGATACCTTCTCGCTGGTAGTGTATTCACTCGTTGTTGATTCTTCGGTTGTAGAATCAACTGTTGTTGATGAAATAGTTGTTGATTCAACTGTAGTTGATAAAATAGTTGTTGACTCAACTGTTGTTGAAGATATAGTTGTTGAATCCAATGTTGTAGATGTATCAGTAGTTGTGTTTAAATATGATGTTGTAGCTTCAGATGTTGCATCTTCAGATGTTGTTGTTTCTGCAAAAGTAAAAAAAAAATATTAGGCTGGTATTAAGGGCTATATTTTCTATTAAACATCTAATAGCATCTTGGTTACCAGATTGTCGAACGGAAATCAACCTACTATTGAAAAATGTTTGCAACGTATATTAATTATTTTACAGTGAATATTATTTATTTAATTATTCTCTTTTTAATATTGAGTGAGTGGGCGGGTGGGTCAGTGTTTGTCTGTATCAATGTAAATGGAGCACATACACACACACACACACACACACACACACACAGTATACAGATATTGCCTGCTTAGAGGTGTAATATAACATATCCCCGAGGGAAATACATTTTTTTCGAAGGATTATATTTTCCAGAAGCGCATAGCGCTGAGGGAAAATATAGTCCTGAGAAAAAAATATAATTCCCAAGGGGATATCAAATGTTATTGTTACACCGATAGAAAGGCAATATCTGTTATATTACATAGCCAAAATAGATGCAAATAATTAACTGAGCACATTACTTTAAATATCAAGAACTTTTATTTAACTTTTACACAATATCTGTCATATTACATAGCCAAAATACTTCATAATACCGTCACTTATTAAAAATGTTTCTGTTGTAGTCCGTAGCGTAGCGTTATCATCTTTTTGCCTACAATTCACCGTTTGCTCTCCTTACCTCAGCGTTAAATGACCGGAGAAACGTGACGCGTTGAGCTCCGCTGCTCTGAAATTTTCAATGCAAGTAGGCTAGGCCTAATTTGATGATTCCTCGGCCTTACAATATTCACTGAGTGGGCCTACATTAACGATTGAATTCACAACAAATTTTGTACACCGAGAATCCTTTTCGTCAATAATTCTATCCAATTCGTCTTCGTTGAGAGAATTAAACTTATTTGAAGGTCGCCATTTTCGATCGATCGATCGTGCGCTCGACTAGTATATTCACTACGGGCGCAAGCGGGTGTAATCCGGTGACGTCAGAGACCGGTCACTTTTCAAAGTTATATTTCCCTACGGGGAGATATAACGTTTCCGATCCTCGTAGCGCTAGTCACGTGATGCCATTTCGACCAATCACGTACTCGTATTATATATATATATATATATATATATATATATATATATATGTGTGTGTGTGTGTGTGTGTGTGTGTATGCGAGTACAATGTATATGTATGTATGTACACTATATTATTTATATTAAAAAAAGGTTAGTAGAATATAATCAGAAAAATATACATATAAAAGGAACGCATTGAAAACATATATTTAAATGTCGTACGTTACTATGAAAATAACTATAAAGAAATAATAGTTAGCCATTAAGATAAACTAACCCGTTTTAAAGAAAAATGATTTTTATCTTAGTAAATACTCATATTGGATATTTCACGGTACCACATAAAACCTTGTAATTGTAAATTATGTAATGATGAAATGTGAGAAGTAATAAAAGTGGGATAACCCCACCAATATATATATATATATATATATATATATATATATATATATTCAATATTGATTTAAGTATAGTAATAGTAAGATGTTCGCCACTCATAGTGCACAGCCATTTCAAACATAGCTTGCGTTCTGAGCTGAATTGTAGGTAGCATGCGATAATTTACTTATACTGGTTTATATAAACCGAATGTGAGAATCATTTGCAAATACATCGACAAACAAACAAACCATCATAGTTTAAAGCTCCATATAAACAGGTAGTACAGAATACAAAATTATCAGTTTGAGACAATGAAGATGACAACGATGTGTTCTCCGATACTACTGACACAAATCACAGATAACGTTAATTAATAATCAGATGTTGAAGAGGTACGCGAATAAAGTGTCAATACTGCAGCTGATAACCAACAAACAGTTAGCGTTAATCACAATAAATCAAAAGAACAAAACAATGACTATTATGATCGCGAAGAGAAAAAAATCACTGATATTTTGGAGCTTCCATACATAAGTGTAAAGGTGGAACAGAGTTACAAGTTGAAAAAAAGACAAAAATCTAGCATATGGTAAAAAAATCAAAACAGCATTAACAGTAATACCGATGCCAATATTGAAACGAATATTCAGAACAAAATAAGGGGAACTTGAAACATTATAAATGTAGTTTCTGTAAGGAATGTAAGGAGGCGCTCATTTATAAATCAAATAGATAATCACACAATGCTCAAATATGTAGAAATATGATGTTATAGAGCCTATCAAACATCAACTTAATTAGTAGTACGTAAAAAATAGGTCTCTGGTGGGAATTGAACCCGGGATATATTATTACATGTAAGAGATTGCATTTTTCTGTGTATTTTTTTAATTCTCGTATGACTCTTATAATTCGAATCTACAGCCAGTCTAATTTAAATTACAATAACTTAATAATGATTGCATGTAAATTAAATTACAGGTTTTAAAAATACTATTCCCTTATTACTTTCTTTAACAGTAAGTAGGCCTACAAATCAGATCAGACTTTAAAAAGATAAAGCCAAAAAAATATATAAGGGCCTATATTTTCTGAATACATAAATATAAATAAATGTTTTATAGTAAAAAGTATTAAGATTTGGCCTATAATTATGACAAAAATGTTGATTTCAGATGGGCCTTCAAAGAGGCGCTGCCATCTGAGAATTCATAAATTGTCTTTTAATTTTCTTTTCGTACAGTATATATTTCGGAAGAATAGGATAAACAGATATCTCACTTTATGTTCTAAGGTCTTATTACAACTTCATTGATAAATCTCCTTTGTTACCGGTAATTGCTGCGAAGCAGCCAATTCACATTCCAGACAGCAATTTGACCTCTGAAAGGTCATTGTTTGTCAAAAAACAATCGCCCAAGACAATTGAAAAGCGGAGTTTCCTTCTTTCGTTCTGCCGGGTAAAATCAATTACTTTAGGCGACGTTTGTAGAC